AGAGAGAGAGAGAGAGAGAGAGAGGGAGGGAGAGAGAGAGAGGGAGAGAGATGATAAAATGGATGTACAGTAGGTATTATAATATTACTCTAATGGATACTCCAGTGTACTGATCTGATATGGAAGCGGTCTCTGATTGTGAATCACTTTCCATTGATACCTGAAAAAACAATTATTATTAATAATAATAAATAAATATAATAATTACGTCTTCGTTTAATTTTTTCATCACCAGTTGCCCGTGACCTTGTGGAACTAGCTCATGAAAGACTTCAGTAAAATACTTTGACATCTAAAAATCAAATAAATAAATAAAAATTACATAAAAGTCTCCATTACTTGTTTAAATGTGAACTCAATTGCTTCATGTTTCTTCAACTCAAGGACATCAAACAGCTCCTGTATGCTTTCATAAGCTTTGTCCAACTCGATCTTACGATCAGTTAGTTTCTCCTTGTGCTCAGAGAAATCCTTGAACTGATCTAAAGCTCTTTTATTGACGTGACTGTATTTCTTTAGATCATTATTGCACTTTTCTAACTTCTTCCATAACTACATGTATAATGAGAAAAGATGAAGATATTCTATACTCCATTTCTATTTCTATTAATGTCATTATACCTGTGATGTTGTGTAGTGCTGATATTTAGCAAAATCAGAAGGAAGAGAGCCTAGTCCACGTAGTTTACCCAAAGCTTCCTCTTTCTAAAATAAAAAAAGATCACATTAAATTGTTGTAGCCTGTTATTGTATACCTTTTTAAACAATAAAGCTCTTTTGTTTGCTACTTTCTCCATTGACTTTAAATCCTCGGCCATTTGATCTTGATTTTCACGTTCTATAGTCTATAATGCAAGCCCCAATTAACATTCATCTACAGTAAAATGATCCACAATCATACCTTCCATGTCTCCATTTCTTTGTCTAACTGTTTAATTTGATCTGTGTACATCTGCACATCAGAATTAACCTCTGTGGAGAGAGAAGAGGGACATTGTGGTTTTCTTTTCTCTATCGTTCCATCTCTTACCATCCATCCTTGCTTTGGTGTGATCAATCTTTACTGTTAACTGTTGGAGGTCGCTTGACAATAAGCTCACTTGTTGATCATTGTCAGTCAATGCAATGTCATCCAATTCCTTAGAGAGAGAGAGGGGAAGAGAGAGGGGGGAAGAGAGGGGGGAAGAGAGAGAAAGGGGAAGTAAGAG